CTCCTACCTTCTCAGGGTCCTACCTCCTCAGGCTCCTACCTTCTCAGGGTCCTACCTCCTCAGGTTCCTACCTCCTCAGGCTCCTACCTTCTCAGGGTCCTACCTCCTCAGGCTCCTACCTTCTCAGGGTCCTACCTCCTCAGGTTCCTACCTCCTACCTCCTCAGGCTCCTACCTTCTCAGGGTCCTACCTCCTCAGGTTCCTACCTCCTACCTCCTCAGGCTCCTACCTTCTCAGGGTCCTACCACCTCAGGGTCCAGGGTTCTACCTCTTTCCTCCTAATTTTCTGTCAGACTTTAATGAAAACAATCAGGTCACGGCCCTCGAAATGTCCAGGGGCCTCATGTACAAAGACTTGTGTGGATTTCTTACTGAAACCTGACGTTCGGTCAAATCCAGAAAACAGCGTACGCACAAAAAAAAATCCAGATGTATCAAACTGTGCGTACACCTGAATCCACGCACATTGCTTTTGTACATCACAATTAACGTGGAACTGAGCGCAGGTGAGACACTTCCCCTGACACACCTTCATTAACATATGTTAAACGGATACAAATTACTTCCTGCATGTGTGAAGGACACGTTTGTTTGATCCCTGCGTGATCAGAAATGAGTTCTAATGTCATAAAAATAATGAATTAAATATAATGTGAGTGAGAAAAACATCCTAAGTAAAAATAGGAATAAAATGTTTGTCACGCAAAGAACAAAAGATTGTGTGTGTGTGTGTGTGTGTGTGCGTGCGCGCTGTGTTGCAACCGGCTTATCCATCCATTCTGAGTCTGAAAATATTAACTTTGCACAGGAGTTTATTACCATAATTCCTGTAAACACAGAGGAACTTAAATGTTTGGTAGAACATAGATCTTGGTTTATTTCATAGCTGATGTGAAGAAACGAGTCTCTGCGTCTCAGTAGAGTTCACATGACGTGATGTTGGAGAGTCCACACATGCGAGCACCGCAGCCTTTGTGTGCAGTCTGTTTGTCTGTCCAGCTTTTGCTCTCCTACTTACAGCATTTTCACAAGTTGTAAAGTGAACTTCCACGTGTCATTTTGGAGAAATCTACAACATAAACACCAAGTATGAAACATCTCCACTACCGGCGAGGGTGCTCGCTCCAGAGCTCGACCATAACTCAGCCTTTAGAMTCAGATGGATGAGACGATGCCATTGGTCATGACTCAGCTTTGGGTGGACTGGACTGACATGGTCCTGATGGGTCTGCCAGCTCCCTCTGGAAAGCTCCTGTGGAACCCCAGTTCAACCGCTGCTGCTGCACGTGCACGCGTGGCGCACACGGCTACTCACTGCATTGCGCTCCCAGAGCGCAGCAGTGCCAAACTAAAAAAAACATTTTTCCTCAAAACGGCTGATGAACCACTCGTCATCAGAAAATTCTATCTGTTTATGAATAAATGCTCTGTGTGTTACACTATTTATTAAATCCTCCAGTAAGGCTGAATCTGTTCCTGGTAAATGTGTTTTTGGCACAACTTTGCGCGTCCTTTATTTAACTGCGTCCATGTGGATGTAATAATTGTTAATCATGTGGATGTAATAATTATTAATCATGTGGATGTAATAATTGTTAATCATGTGGATGTAATAATTGTTAATCATGTGGATGTAATAATTATTAATCATGTGGATGTAATAATTGTTAATCATGTGGATGTAATAATTGTTAATCATGTGGATGTAATAATTGTTAATCATGTGGATGTAATAATTGTTAATCATGTGGATGTAATAATTRTTAATCATGTGGATGTAATAATTRTTAATCATGTGGATGTAATAATTGTTAATCATGTGGATGTAATAATTGTTAATCATGTGTATCTGCTGTGAACAATAATCATTTTCACATCATGAACAGTTTCTCAGCATCACCTGTAAGTGTCGCCAACAGAACCAGAACCACAGAAACATGTGACACCAGCCCTGGAGTTGGCGTGGGGCTGCGCACATTTCCACCTTCTGTTCAGTTTTGATACATCCAGAGTTTTGTGTGGAAAATGTCGTACGCAAGTTTTTTGTGCATACGCACCGTTGATACATGAGGCCCCAGGTACTTTGTAAGGTACATACTACCTGGAACGTACCTGGTACCACCAGTAAGTCTCAACCAGGTACTGTTCATGTACAGAGTTAAGTACCAGGTTGTACACTGTATTCCCACCATGTTGTTTATGTATTTCTGGAGTATTTACCTGTATGCGTATGAACCGTGGCCTGGCGTAGCTCGGCAGGTAGTTTTTAACGTGTTGATGAAGACGTTTCCCGTCAAAGCTCATGTTTTCTTTCAGCGTCAGAGCTGCCATTCCAATCCTGCCTTCATGTCCTAATCACACACACAGTTTACAAAAGTTCAATAGTCAGATTTTTAAAAAGGTTAAAATGTAAAAAAAAATTTAAAATGTGTTTTTGTCACATGAATAATGCCCGCTGCCTTGAAAAGCAGGAAAGAACCACTGGATGACGTCTTCAACTGATTTTAAATCAGTATAATTCAAGATGGCTGCCACAGCTAACCAACATTAGCAAACATAAATGGCTCCGACTCAGTCAGTTTAACAAACATTCAGCTCAAACTTGGTGTAGAAGCTGAGAGTGATCTCCAACATGTTTTGTTTAGTTTGTTCCTGTCTCTTAGTTGATCAGTTTTGTGCCTCAGCAGTCTTCAGCTCTGAATTTAGGGCCGTCTCGCAGGAATGTTTGTTGATTATCGAAGAAGAGTTCTGATTACCTGGCACCTTCACCCCGTAGACATTAGCCTCTTCAACAAAGTCCACTGTCAGTAAATGATCAGCCACCTCTGTGGTCGCCACGTTTTCTCCCTTCCACCTGCACACAGCACAGCACAGACACACACGTTGTCTTAAAGGACTAAATTTTGTGTTTAAATCAACAAACTGGACTTTTATCAAATACTTCTGGGTTTCGGTCTAAGCTGAGGACCAGGTTCTGTCCGAAAGTTTTTCTTGTGATGAGGTTTTGTTTTCTAATGTTTGAATTGTTTAGTTAAATGGTAAATGGACTGTACTTATATCGCAATTTTCTATCCATCCAGGACACTCAAAGTGATCCATACTACAATCTGTGTCCTCATTTACCCATTCACACAACACTACCAGATCTCCTACAATGCTAATATACAATCAGCTATGGAGACTAATCAGTGTCACTCACATCCCTACACTGATGGGACACACATCAGAGGCATTGCCCAAGGATTTAACAACTGAGACAGCTGGATGGGGGATTGAACCGGTGACCTTCCGGTTCCAGGACGACTCCCCTAACCACTCTGCCACAGCCGGCCCAGTTCTGTTAGTTCTGTTCTCACTCTCACCTGTTCCCACACCTCATCGTGTTTTTAGTTAAATAAAATATTTTACGTTCAGAGAACATCATAGAAAACAGAAATAACTGAACAGGTTGAAAAGTCTGACCCAATCTGAATTTAAAGAGATCTTTGCAGCACCAGGACTAAATTCAACTTTTCTTTGGCGACTAAACAAACAGAACAATTTGTACTTATGGACTAAAACTCTGGATTTTGCAGATATATCCCCTTAATATCATCTTAGAAAATTCTAAAACTTCATATTCTTGGCTTCAAAGTTGGATAATTGATCTGAAAAGTCTTCAATAGGGACCTTTTGTTTTAGCTTTAAACAATATGAACTATTAATTATCAACAGCAGCTCTTTGTTTCATCCTCTGACCTGAAAGTGTCTCCAATCCGATCCTGAAAATAAACGAATCCTTGGTTGTCGACCCTTAAAAGATCTCCACTGTTAAAGTAGAGGTCTCCCTTCACAAACACGTCTCTCAGCTTCTTCTCTGTCTGCTGCTCGTTCTTCAGATATCCACCGAAAGGTGCTGTTGCTCCGATCCTTCCAACCAGCAAACCAGTTTCTCCTTCAGGGGACAAACAAGTTACTGGTCAGGAAGAAGGAGGAAGCTGTTGGATTTACAGGTGAACAGCTCACCTGCTGGGACTTTAATACAGAATCCTCTGGAGTCTCTGAGCGGCTCCTCCGTCTCCAGGTCATACTTTATCAGGGCGTATGGATTTCTTAACTGAAAACATGGAAAACCAACAAAAACAGAATCAATTCTTAATGAGGAATCGGCGTGTTTACGATCATCATGTATCCATGGGACTCCTCACTTTGTGAAGAAAGTTCTCTCTGCCAATCGCTCCAACTTTTCCTATGTAGCTCACAAACATGATGTTGGACTCTGTGGCTCCGTAAAATTCACAGATCTGAATGTTCCCAAACCGCTCCAGGAAATCAGTCCAGGTGTCGGCCCTGATCCCGTTCCCTAAAGCCAGCCGCACCTTGTGGTCCTTGTCGTTGTCCCTCTGAAAGACATGAGAAACAAGCAGAAACATCTCTTAATGGTTGATCTGATTACCATCTCCGGTTTGATTAATTATTAGTAGGCCTGTCACGATAACAAATTTTGCTGGACGATTAATTGTCTCAAAATTTATTGCGATAAACGATAATATTGCCTGGTGACCGTTTTACAACTAATAATTATAAAAGCGTAATGTGTAAGTGTAATAAATCAATAAACTTTCATTTTCAAAAGAATGTTTAACAAAGTGGACTCTC